AGAGAGAGAGGGAGAAAGAGAGAGATGGAGAGAGAGAGAGAGAGAGAGAGAGAGAGAGATGGAGAGAGAGAGAGAGATGGAGAGAGAGAGAGAGAGATGGAGAGAGAGAGAGAGAATTCTAGAGTTAGGCATGCACATTATAACTGGGGTCACACTTCATGCTATATTAAAAGAAAATTTGTTTGTAATCATGACAATGTATGAATCTAATTAAGAATTTTGCATTTGTACATCATTCCCAACTGATATTGTGGCTGGAACTAGAACTTTTACAAACATCCCACACCCAAGGGGGAGAAAAAAGGTAAGGTTAAGGTAATATATCACCAGATGATCCCCCCAAAGGTGCTTTTTCAAAAGGCAACTGAACTTTTGTTTTTCCTTGAAGACGTTTTGATTCTCATCCAAGAAGCTTCCTCAGTTATGAAGTCTTCTGAAATCAGAACTGAAGACGTTTCTTGAATGTGAATGAAATGTCTTTAATGAAAAACAAAGTCCAGTTGCCTTTGGAAAAAGCACCTTTGGGACAAACATGACCTGGATGACTGAGAATCTCCATAAACATCTGCAGATGATGATGATCATATTTTCTCTGTTGAACCATAATGGCAATTAACGGTCATCATTAGTTTTGAACTCCTGCATAAAGAAACAAGAAGTGCCTGGCTGGATATCTGTACTGCTCCATTTTAACTCAGTAAGCCAGAACACGTAAAACAAGTGAGCCAGGAGAATTCTTGCCCATGATGGAGACTTACCCCAATGCTGCTTAAACATGCTTTCTTCCCTTTCAGAGGAATTCGCTGGGCTAGGCTGGGCTTGTGTGCTACACTCACCATCTGGTGGGTCAGCCCTGTGTTGGATAGTATGCTAGCAAGAGCTTCTGGGTCAGACACAAACTCGTCTGAGTTCACTTCTGCAAAGAAAATTAGGATTTGCATTAGCCACACAGTTAAGGAATTGTGTTCGGGAGGAAAAGGCCTCAAGCAATTAATTATACCAGATCCCAAGAATAGAGTTCCTAAAGTCTGCACCATTTTTCCCAAGCTGAATTCAAATGCAGAGTTAGAAAGAACTAGATTTTTTT